CACAGACTGGTGCAGAAGGAGTGTAGGATGATTTGGTGCCTGCTCAGTTTTCACTGAGATTCTGGTTCTCCAGAGGCTAAGGAGAGAGTCATATATAGAGGTGTAAAAGGAGGGACAGCACTGAGTTCAAATTAAAAGATGGAATCTTTAGAGGGTGATGACCAAGGAGTCTGCCAGACCCCTCCTGCCTTCAGACATAGGACTCTGTTGGTTATTTTTTCTCAAAGATAGCTCCACAACAGTTAGACAATGTCATTAACTCAGTGCATTGGTATGAAGGATGTTTTCATCTTATCAGATATCAAGTACTTTACTACTGACAGTGTAGGTGCTCGTAGAATCCCTGCCAAGTGTGTAGGGAGTCTTGGGACTGATTCCCAGCACTGCAAACTAGTTTATTATTTATGGAAGCCACAAATATCCACACACACATCCACACACATATCCAGGTAGACACACTGGGAGATAAACAGAGGTTCTTGAGGATCTCAGTCAAGAGTTTCAAACACGCAAATGTCAAGTTTCTTCGTGGTCCTTCAAGAGATGACGAATAAGGTGTACATTTTATTTTTTTTAAGGTTTGCATTTTAAAAGACAATTTAAAAGCAGAAATATGTGCACTTTGAGACTGCCATTCTTAGAATTTCTTAGGGTTGTTTTCTTGCTTTATATTTAGCCACAGTTTGATCTTTGCTATATTTCAGGCATTGGGCTTCATTCTGCCCTGTGAAGAACAAAGAAAGGCCATCCCCTTTTCTGTATGAGAAATATTTAAGCTTGTAGATAAGCCACACTCCCACTTTTAATCATCCTGGTTTTTAATCTAAAATGTGCAATGAAGACATCCAGTTCTCATCCAGGAAGCTTTCATATGGCTAGTCTGTGTGATATCCTTCAACCATCATAGAAGCATTGGGTAACATACTTTAAAACAAATATAAAAATACAGAGGGATCCTCTGTCAATCTTAGATAGCTGCTCAGGAGCCACCAGGACCTAGTTATATCAGCCTGACCTTTTTCTGGAATGAGATATAGAAAATTCTTAAGGAAATAGTCACTTTGAAAGCCCTACCTCCGCTGGAGGACAATCGGATCTGTTATAGTTTACGTATTGTTTCTTTCAGTGCAGGGAGGACTGCTGTTTTTTGGAAGGAGCCCTGTGATAACTGTGTAGGATCCCATCGTGAGAACTTTCCCACCCTTCTCAGCTGTGTACACTAGAGCTATTGGCAGGAAGCCAAATTCTGCCCACCTCTCACTTATTTTGTCTGGAGTGAAGCCTACTAGTGTGCTCACAACTCCTGGCTTGTGAGTGATAGGTTTCACTCTATGGAATTTGCCAGAAGTCCAATGCCACGTACAAATGAGGAGTAATGTGCAACTATTCAAGAAAGGTGAAAGACTCCGAGCATCATGGGAATTGGTTAAGCTGAGGTCTTTTTTTTGTGAGCAGTGTAAGTGGATGTGAGCAGTTCCCAGATACCAGGGAAGAGCGGAGGCATTTGTACTATGTCATAAATGTAATCACCGGTTCCTAAGCAGTAGACATGCAGGCACGGTGAAGTCACCTGTGGTGGACACAGGGTGTCCTTAACATCAGTTTAATGAGGGCTTTAAGATACTACAGCTGATGTTGGATGTTTAGTTCTGAAGATCAATTATCCCATTCTCCAAATCTGGCTTCTTTCTCTGACAGTGTCTCTCAGTTGCCAGTGGTGGTGTCTGCTCTTGCCATTGTTGAACTGTTTTGTGAAGGGTGTTTGAGAGTTGCAGCCTTATCCTTTGCCTGTGGAAATATATTTCTTCCAGCACTGCTTATGTGAGAGACTATCCTTTATTCTCTGTGTCTTCCTGGTGTCCTTAGAAAATAGCAGTTGGCTGTGCACTAAGATTTGTTCCTAGACTCTCTCTTCCATTCCAGTGACTGATGTGTTCTTTATAGTTCTTAAAACTACTGTTGCTTTGTGATGTACTTGGAAGTGTGGCATATCTAACTGTTTTGCTTTCTTAGAGCTAATGTGGCTATGTGGGGTTGCCGTCTGCATTCTTGTGAACTAGTCGGAAGTTCTGCAGTTGGGTGTGCTCCATTATGCAGTTGCCCAACTGTGACTGAGAGAGGTAGAGTGTTCCAGCTGTCTCTGTGGGTATTTGTTGGAGAGGAGAGTACTGTCAATGCTAATAATAACTCTTTATTGTATATGCACTTAAAAAAAACTATTTTCCCTTTTCAATTTAAATTTCTATTTTTGAGACTTTCACAAATGAGTAATGTATTTATTTCATTTCCATCTCTCTTTCTCCCCACTCCAACTTCTTCTGTGCCCCCACTCCCTCTCAAATTCATAACCTCTTATCCATTAATTATTGTTGTTATATATACACACACGTACACTCTACTGGGTCTTTTTGGTGTTCTTTGCATATATGTAGTAAACAAACCTTTCCATGCTTATTTTTGCTTTAAATAAACAAGATGTTGGATGCTGGAGAAATTTAAAGCCCCGGTAGGGAGATAATAGACCCTTTCTTGGCTCCTGGCTTCCTTGAGCAGAGGACAGTCAGCCAAGCTGTGACTCAATGACCGCGAGTCAGACTTCCTTCACGGCAGCTCAGCTGTTCTGAACACACCACAGATGCTTCGAGGAAGCCATACCACTGTTCCTGCTGCTTATTCCCGGCTTATTTCTTTAAGAACCTTAAACTAGATTTTGTATTTTTGTCATCTCAAGCCTTGGAAAAATCTACCAATCACTTTCACTCAGGGAGGAAGAAACAAATTTCCCTTGGTCACCCCCAAGAAGAGCAGTTGCAGCCTGCTGCTGCCTTCTTCCTACTGCAGCCTGCTGCTGCCTTCTGCTCCCTACTGCAGCCTGCTGCTGCCTCCCACTGCTGCTCGCTGGTGCTGGAAGCTAAGGATTGCATAGGCATGAAGCGCCGGGGCCACTGGTAGTTAAAGCCCAGGGCACTAGATTCCAATCACGGGATCCATAGCTATAAGGTCAGATTCTCTTTTCCCACTTTTTATTAAAAATAGTTTTTTTCCTCACATAATATATTCTGCTTATGATTTCCCCTTCTTCTACTCCTCCCAGTTCTTCTCCACCACCCCTCCCATCCAGATCCACTGTGCCCTTTCTGTCTCCCTTTAGAAAACAAACAGGTTCCTCAGGGATAATAATAAAACACAACATAATATAATAAGGTAAAACAAAAACTAACTCACCAGAATAGGATACAGCAGATAAATAGAAGGAAAAGAGTGCAAGGCACAAGAAACAGAGACAGGCACAGAAACCACACTCAGGAATCATTTAAAAACACGAAATTGAAGTCATAAAATATATACAAAGAACCTGTAGGGTAAGAAAATAGACAAATATATATAAATATATATTTATCACAAAATGAAATTAAAAATAAAAATAAGATTAAAAAAATTCTCTGACACGACATTAGGAGTCAAAGAACCTCCAAAGATGCCACTGAGTTCATTTTCTGCTGGCCATCCATTGCTGGGCTCGCAGCCTCCCCTAAGAGTGGCTGTTTCCCCAGAGAGACTCCCTTGGAGAGAACTAAATTTTCATTTGCAAGTGGTTATTAATTGAAGATGGCTTCTAAGTGGCCCCTATCCCTAACCCAGAAGCCATAGGTTGACTTCTGAAGCCCGGAGTTCCTAGGTTTTAGGGTTTGGGGCTCTATGTTTCTGGGTCTGCCCATTTAGTCCCTGGCTTCTCCCGAGTGTTGCCAGCCCTGGGTAGAGCATCTAGCTGACAGCAGAAATGCTGAAAACTAAATTTCATGCCTCTGCTTCAAAATTATCCAAGTTTTTATTCATTAAAATGATCATTACTGATGTAAGTAAGGCTCTGAGCTTTATCATATTGAAATATCTTGGCTCATTGTTCATTTGTTTATCATATTAGAAATAGCACTAAGCTTTGCTGATTGAAAGGATATTAGTTGGAGGGCTCAGTGGTTAAGAGCAC